ACTAGGCTGAGGCCCAGCGCAGCCCAGAGGCAGTGCAGGGGCCCTGGAGGTCAGGGACCCCACAAACACATCCTTGCCCATGCTAACCACTCTGTCCCCCACAGATGAGTGCATGGATAAGTAAGCAAGTGTGCGGTAAGTATGGCTGCAGAGGAGGCTGATTGGAACCATGGTGCAACTGGAGCGGGGTCCCAGGTCTTCCTTTGTCCAACCTGCCCAGCACTGCTGTCCTCTTTATTCCCCTGACTCCCTCTCAGGTGCCCTTTGGCTTTCTCTCCACCCCATGCCCTCCCACCGGCCTGTATCCAGGGCACCGCCCAGCTGTCCCCACCAGCCTGGACACCATTGAGAGAGCCAGGGGACCCTCTAACTGCACAGCCCACCAGCTGCTCCCCAGGCTTCCCAGCTGACAGAACCCTTTCTTGGTTGCTAAATAAACACATGTCCCCCAGTTCCCATTCTGTGGTCCTTGACTTCTGTGCCTTCTAAGAGAAAAGAGCAAAAGGCAGTCTCCTATTAGCATCACTCCCAGGAACTCTGGTCCCCTGGAAGGGATGAAGGCCACAAAAGCAGAGTCCAGTCTGACTGAACACTCCTAGCTGAACATTCCCAACTCCAGGCCCAGCCCCACACCAGCAGCTGCCCTCACTTGCCCTTGCCTCCTAGCACACTGAGGGGCCACATTTCACATCTTACACCATGTCAGCCACCTGCAGCAGGTCCAATGGCGGTGTCCCAGCCAGAAGGCCAAGAAAGAATTCTTGAAGACGTCTTTGATGCAAAAATGTAATTTTATTAAAGCACAAGGACAGGACCCATGGACAGAAAGAGCTGCACTTGGGTTGTGAAGAGTGACTGTTTATACCCTATGGCTTTGGAGGAGGCAAATTCAAGGGAAGTTTTTAAAGAGATTTTCATATGCTAAAGAAGATTTACAGAGTACTGGAGGTCTAGCTATAGTCAAGCTAAAGTATTTTTCCCTCTAGCAAAGCATTAACATTAACACAGTGGGGAGTTCCTGGTGAAATGTTCTTCTCTGCCAGCCTCAATTAGCTGCAGGGTATCTGATAATTTAATGTTCCCTGCCATTTCCTTCTTGTCTTTCTTCCCCATATTACTATGAGGGGTGATGTGGGGGCTCCAGGAAACTGAGTCTATAGGTTTCTGGAGATTAGGCTATTGATAAGATTGCCTTTTTCTTCTAATTTACTAAGATATTTGTAAACTGATGGAGACTCATGTCCTGCATGACTGGGATCTCTACCAGTTAACCATTTGTTTTCTTTCCTTTGTTCTTGGGCAGCCAGGAGTGTCTGAGGAATGTCACACACAACTCACCTGGGGTGGGGGGAGGGGTAATACTAGCTTGTACTTGGCCCTCAGCTTGCCTTATTCTCCCTCATCATATCACCCCTAAACAATTTTGACCCTTACATCTTTAAGGTTGTTGAAGGGGGAAGTCCCATCTTCTGTAGCTATTTCTTGCTCAGTAGGGGCATAGGATGTCCCTATCCATGAGTCAATATTGATCAGTTGGGGAACATATGGAAGAGCTACAGAGGAAGAGGCAGCTGCATCCAAGGTGGACAATGAGTATTAACCTCCTTTAGTAGAAAGGATCATCCGTTGGATTGAAGTTATTGTAGTGATGGAGTCTTGTCATGACGCAGAGAGACAAGGGAGAAACAGCAAAATGTAATTAGAATAACAAGAAAGAATTGCCCAAATAAAAGTCCTTTGTAATTGATGAAAATCCTCAAGTCCAGGAGTTTAACCAATCATTAAAAGAAAGGGAGGGATTGTTTTAGGCACCAATTTGAGTATTCTGGTCAGTTAGAAATCCAGAAATATGTTGTGATAATCTAGAATGTATATTGATGAAGTTTTGGGGGGGTGGTGGGTTGTCCAGAGCTGACCTCCAAGAAAGAATTCCTGAAGATGTCTTTGGTGCAAAAAGGTGATTTTATTAAAGCACAGGGACAGGACCCAGGGGCAGGAAGAGCTGCACTGGGGCTGTGATGGGTAACTGATTATATACCCTCAGGATGGAGGGTGTCATGGATAGAATAAGTCTCTAAGGTATTTTGGAAGCAAGGTTTCCAAGACCTTAAAGGGCTTCCTGTTGCTAGAGAAACACCACTTATTACCATTGAATAAAACTTCAGTCATGAGACCCTTCAGATGCATATCAGGGACATAAACTTGGAGTATGATTTCTAGTATATACCTTGGGGCAGTTGAGATAAAGGAAATAGACTTACAGGATCCTGGAGGTTGGGATAATGTTGGGCTAAGGTTCTCTTTGCCCCTAGCAAAGTGTTATTAATGAGACAGCTGAGCTCCTAAGGGAGGTCACTGCTGGTTTCAAGGACTTGCCAACAGGCTGTAGGCAGTAAGAGGATTTAATTTTTCATTTGCCTAAATTTCCTACATCACCATGGCAAGCACTTAAATGCCTTTCCTTTGTTCTTGGGTAGCCAGGAGTGTTCGTTCAAGGAATACCACACATATTCCACCTAGGGGAGGGGGGATATGCCAACCTGTTTTGCCCTCAGTTTGCTACATGATCTGTCATATCTCCCCCAAAACAATTTTGACCTTTATATCTTAAAGGTTGTTGAAGGAAGAAGGTCTCATCTTCCTTAGTTTCTTCCTGCTGAGTAGAGGCATAGAGTAGTCCCTACCTATGGGTCAATATTGGTCCCTTAGGGAACATACAGGGCAGTAAGGTGAGGCAGCTGAATCCAAGATGGACAACGTGTATGAACCACCTTGAGTAGAAAGGATCATGTGTTGACTTGAAGTAATTGCAGTGATAGAGTCTTGGCACCAGGCAGAGAGACTTGGGGAAAAATAGCAAAACATAAGTAGAATAACAAGAAAGATTAACTCAAATGAAAAGTCCTTTGGTAGCTAACAAAAATCCTCCAGTCCAAGAGTTTAGCCCATCACTAAAGGAAAGAGAGGAATTGTTTCATGTGTCAATTTGAGTATTCACGTCAGTTAAAATCCTGAAAATTTTTTGTTATAGTCTGGAATGTATATATACCATTTCGTTCTTATGAGAGTTTAAGTTCCCCTTGTGCAGCACTTAAAACATCTGAGGCCATTCTGTTTTGTATAAGTGTTTTATGCATTTGGGTTATTTTGGTATTTAGAAATATAATGTTACTTTGAGAGTCATTTAAGGCCTTAACTGTGTAACAGGTGGTGTATTAGTTTTGTTTAGTAAGCCAGCAGGTAATTAAAAAGAGGTACTTTCATAGAAAAAAGAAAAATACAGGTTAATGGTGAGAGCAGACAACAAACCCAGTGTCTTCTAGTACTGCCATGAGATTTTTTTAGACGTTAGGCTGGTGAGAACAGGGAGCAGGAATCAAACTGGTCTTTCTGGTTTGTAACTCAAATGTCTGTGTGATCATTTTGAATGGCTCATTGTTATAAGGAACTGTTAGTAGAAATTGGGAAAAGAAGATGAAAAAAAAAAAAAAAGGTACAACCATCCCAAGAGAAGTTGGAGGTCTTCCACAAGTTCACAGGAATAAGAAGGCACATTAGTTTGCTCATTGAATTCTTGGGAAGGGGGTACAGGTTTTATTTTAGATACAGGAGCTCATGAAGTGTTCCCCTCTAACTTTATTGCAGTGGGAGTACATAATATGACCCAGTAGGAGCCCTTCCATTTTGGAGTTAAATTCCCTGCTGTATTAGACTTTCAACCCTTTAATAAACCAGGTGTTTTGGGTTTATATGGGGTGGGTTTCTAGTAACTGTCAGATCAGGTGTAGGAAGGATATATTTTGCATATTTATTTAGAAATTCATGAATTAACTGAGCCTCAAATGAATGATTGAATATAGCAATATATTTTATCTGTTGATAGGTCTACAGTGAAAAAAGACTTTTCATATACAATTGGGGGAGTCCGCCCCACTTTCCAGTTGCTCAAATGCTCGTATGCCCAATGGGTCCTGTTACTATTCCCACAGAATAAGAAGCAAAAAGGTTGTCCATACCTGTGCTATTATGATAATTTTTCTGAAGTTTACCTCACATTGTCCAGTTAGGCAAACAACATTTAAAGACAATCAGAATTTAACATTTGTAACAGTGAGGTACTGAAACAGTTTCTTTCTCTCTAAACACCCTCATTTCCAGAGATAGCCAGATCAAGACTAATTTGCTTGTAAAACAAGTCCAGTTTTCATAAACTTGCCCTAATTGTTTACATAAGCTCAGCTAAAATAGTGATTGATCATATAGATCTTCTTTAATTTGCTTTCCTGTAACTTTTTATAAAGAATCTACATTGAATTTTCAGTAGCCCCTCCAGGCCAGAAGCCAAGCCAAATACTTGGCATCAAACATGCCTGCAATACCTGCAGATTTGGGCAAATTCCCCTCGACAAGGTCCCCAAGATATCCTGAGGTCCCTGCACCTGCCCAGAAGTGACATTCTTTACTCACCTGGTAAGGCTGCTGGGAACTCTGTAAGCAAGGCATCAGGTCAACATTTCCAAGGGGCTTTATTGGCTCCATGTTTCATAAAGTCAACCTTAGTTCCCTAAAGCCATATGGTCATATTGGGGTCTATGCATTTCTCTCAAATAGGACATTCCAGTCAAAGCCATAGTAAAATAAATAGTATTTTCAATTTTACAAGGAGAATAGATTCTCACTGAACTTACACAGGTAAGTATGATGACTGTGGAAGTATACTCACTGAGACTTTTTGAGTTTCAGAGGGTTCATTCAGGTAGAGAGAAAAGTTAGATGTTTCAATTTATTTACAGAGGGATATTTTATCACATTTCTGTACATTATAAATATCTTAAGAGAAAGTTTCCTTAATATGGAAGAGCGAACATTAGAGAGCCAGCAATGTTTCCCACAAGAGTCACCAAAACTATAACCTTTCTCAGTTCATTTAGTCCCATATTACTAACTGTTGTTCAGTTCAAATGCAGCTTTTTAGTTCTGGAAATTCTTACCTGTTTTAGTTTTAGGATTTTAAAGCTGTCAAATGCCTGAATTTGTCCTAAATGCCCTTTTTATAAATCCTCTTGAAGAGGAAACACGTTTTGAAAGAGAATAAATGCAATAATTATAAGTGACAAAACTCAC